ATTTTGGCTCAGGTCATAATCTCACAGCTCATGCGATTAAGCCCCACATCGGGCGCTGTGCTGACCGTGCAGAGCCTCCTTTGGATTCTCTCCCTCCCTCACTCTCTCTCAAAATAAATAAATAAACATTTAAAAAAAAAAAAGTCTAGAAATTTCTATCCCAAAACTTCAACAGTTAGCTACCTCTAGGATTAGAGGTGACCTCCATTTCTCTTTTCTTCACCTGTATGTGCTCATTCTTCTAAAATGAATGCAGTATTTGTGAAATAAAAACTTTAACAAAAAACATAATGCAAATGTGACAACCACAAAAACAAAACTTTGGGAGAGAACAAGTCAGAAAAGTCAGGAATCAAATGATCAACATCTAGGAGAAAGGCACAAGGCCAGTATTACGCAGAGTGGCCTGGCGGACACAGGCGTTGAGCGTGAACGCAGAGAGAATTCTGTAAGTATGCAGGCAGGGACTTTTCCTTCCCTGGTCCTGCGAATTTACCAAGAGAAGAGGGTGTGTTACTACAAGCTGGTTAGCATGAAATTTTCAAGGTTCTGCGCGAAACAAAAATGTGAACGCTCCGGGGTATTTTATGAGTTATAGTCAAAACCACCCACATCCCACATCATACTCGACGTCAATTAATGAAGCTGTCCTTTCATGCAACACATTAGGAAAAAAAAAAAAATGAGACAAAGAAACCAAGTGTAGAATTCCCGGTCCTGAGTCCCCCTTACAAAGCATCTCTTACAAATGATCTATTTCCACCATCAGCCAACTGTGGAATCCTGCCTGAACTCCTTTCTCTCACAGACTCATTCCCTGTGCAGGGGTGGCCAAGGCGGGGCCTGTAATGTGGGACCTCTCAACCTCCAAAACCCTGCCAGGCTCCAACATTATAGAACCCGAGTCCCGAATCCTGGAAATACTGTCCGTCTCACGGTTTGTTGGCTGAAGAGGGGTTTCAAAAAGCCGTGATAAATGATGGACCCCGAACAAGCCTCGCTAATTGAAAAGTGGGGCAAAGCTGGTGTTGCCCAAGATGCAAAGCAAAACCCATTTGTGAAAGAAGCAGGCCCCTTTCAAAGACATAAATCATCCTTCCTGGGAATACATTTCCTGCGAACTTTCCCTCTGAGCTTTGTTGTTCCTTCTTCTCACCATCAATAAATAAGAATTGTTTGTTACATATGTAACAACTTAGTGTTTTCCTTCTAAACCACTGTGCTCTGTGCGTTAAAGGGCACATATTCTTTCCACCTGTTCTGATTGTCATTGGTGTTATTAAAGGGGGAAAAAAACCCGCTTTCCACTTGGGTTTATTCAGAGAGAGTTAACATCTGATTTTACATGGAACTATTTAAAAGGAAAAGAACAACATGGCCTGAAGCACTTCTAGCATAGGGTGTGGAAGTATTTGATGTCCTGGTGCTTGTTCATAAAAGAATGTTGTTTTGAAATGTGCAGTGAAGTTAGGGAAAGAGATCCAAAGAAAGTTCCCGTTGAGACAAAATCAAATCAACCCCCCGCCCCCCCCCCCCCACACTTCCCTCTTGGATCAGGAGGCCCCTTGGCTCTGGGCCCACCATCTGTGCCCAGGGAGGCCTCAGCCTTGCTGCCAGCAGTGATGTGTGAACACGGGTTTGTCACAGTCAGGGCGCTGATAAAGGCGATTCATATATCGGGACCCACAGAACAGAGGCGGCCCCAGTGGCCTGGCCCACACCACTACGGGTCCAAACCTAAGTCAGCCAGCATGCGTGGGAAATGCCTCACTGCCGAGGAAACCTGACAGACCCCAATCGCAGTCCTCCAGCTCAGCGTGCTTACCTTATCCTAGAAAAGGCGGACCTGCCAGCTTTCTAAGGAAACAGCCCATCTTGCCCCGCTTCTGCGTTTCCTCCTGCACCTTCCAAAAAGCTCCCTGTTGCTCAAAACCCCTCGGGCAGAGCACCTCGATGCATGGGTGCTCCCCCACTGTGTGGATTGTTTGCTCGTGAATAGAGGACATCAAAGTCATTACTAACTTGTTTTATTTCTGTCATTGGTCAGCACTGCAGGCTGGGGGAGAGACATTTGTCCGTCCGTGCGTGCGTGCCGACTCAAGAGTCTCTGAAGGTCTTCCGCAAGAGTGAGAATTGCCCAGTTGTCCTTCCTGCAGGTTCATGGGTTACTCTTTAAAGCCAAATGAAATGTCTCGAGCCCCCAGCCAAGGCCAGGAGACACTAGCCCGGTCACAACAGTTCAGGCTGTGCCAAAAGCTCAGCCATCAGAGGAATCAGACGTTAATGCAGAATGTTAAGAATCAAAATTCATGCAGAAAATCCACCATGAGTAAATTCCCAATGTTACAAAGAAAGGCAGGATCCAGAACAGTGCATTGCTCAGCTGTATCAGAGCCCAAGGCAAAAGGAAAAATCAGTCATGTACTGATTCCCTGTCTTTATTTAAAATTTTGGTGTTTCGTTCTTCACAGGTTTTTGTATTTTGGTTTTTTTAATGTTGCATTGGAATATGATTTCTCTTGGGACGCCTGGGTGGCTCAGTCAGTTGAGCATTCGACTTCGGCTTAGGGTCACAATCTCACGGTTTCTGAGTTCGAGCCCCGCATTGGGCACCACGCTTAACAGCATGCTCACCCGCCTTACCCCATCCCAACCCTGATCCTTGTGCTGGGAACTCACAGGACCCAGCCCCCTAGCCGCCCTCCCACACTTTCAAGATTCACCTTCCTGGGTGGTGAGGGGAGACCGGGTTTGTTAGGAATCTGTTCCTGGGTCAGCGGGCACTCAGCCTGTCCCTCTCTCGACGTCTTGCCAGCCCGCCTCTGGCCTCTGCTGCAGGTTCCTGCCCTGACGTGCACCATCGCTGCCCATGTGCTACTGTGCGGGGTCCAGTCTTACTTCTGGTCTTGGGGAGAGAGGATGGGGCCACAGTAATTACTGCGCTGGCAGGAAACAACTTTAAATCGGTAGTTTCTAGTCCTTGCCAGAGGCAGCCTGCATCAGGCCCTGGCAGGAACTGCCAACATAAGACAGTATTGGGGGGGGTCCTTCAATGCCACCTTTTTCCCAGGACCCCAAACTCCTTCTCAAGGTCTCACAGATAAGGCCAAAGTCCTTCTCTTTTCCATGACGCACAGTTGGGCTCGCCTTTGCCAAACCTCTTCCTCTAGGTCATGCCCACGGGGCAGACGCCTTTCTCAGTTAGCAGACGCACGGAGGAAGCCTCTCCAAATACCAGAAGTGTTTTCCCTCTGTGTGCGGTTCTGCTAAGGGGCCGACTTTCCCAGTGGCCTTTTTCCCCCACCCCACGTCATATGTGGGATTCGGTCGCCTGTGCAAGGTCCGGATCACCTGTTGCTTTCATCCCTGTCCTCGGCTCTGAGCACTGGGCCTGGCATGGAGCAAACACTGGGCGGGGATGCTCAAAGCTGCCGCAGCCACCTAAGTTTCTGGTTCCAGAGCCCCAGGGGCTTCTGGGAAGCATCTGGTTCCACCCCCTCTTCCCTGAGTATTGCCAAGACCCCTCCCCAAAAGGTGCTTAGCTCCTGATTCCACAGCACAAGCCCAAAGCCCCTGAGTGTATATAGGTGAGGAGAGAAGGGTTTGAATCCCAGTTCCCCGGTGCTCCCTGGTGAGCACAGGCCCCTGTGTATGTGCCAGGCCTGTTTCTCCCTCTGCAGAGTGAGGGTCATACATATGAGCTATTCCACGCTAAGCACTTAGAAGAGGGTCTGGCACATGCTAAGCACTCAGTCGCCATCAGCCACTCTTACTACCTCCTGGCCTGGGGGGCGTTTACTCTTCGGGGTGGAGAAGGCAGACAGAGCAGTCATGGTCATCTCAGTGTGCCCGAGACACTGGGCAGAGGACGTTCTCAGACTCACTCTAGGCTGCCCTGGACCCTTTCATTCCCAAAGCACTGGAGGGATTGGGAAGCCCCTGGAAAAAGATCCCTTTGTTCCAAAGAGGAAGAAACTTAAGTGTTTGTTTGTTTGTTTGAAGTTTATTTCTTTATTTTGAGAGAGAGTGCGCGCGCACACACAAGCGGGGGAAGGGCAGAGAAAGAGGGAGACAGAAGCCCAGAATCCGGACGCGGGGCTCAAACCCACAAACCCTGAGATCATGACCTGAGCCAAAACCAAAAGTCAGACGCCCCAAGAAACTTAAGGTTTTTAAGTGTAAATGACCTTGAAGGCTGGAACAGTGGGAGTCAGGAGGGCACACCCATCCCTGGCTTCAGAGGCAAGCCCCCAAACTTCCCCCGACCCAGGCGGGCCCTGGAATGGAGTGTGTCTGGTGATAGTGATGTAAAGAGGCAGGAAGACTGCCTTCTTAAGCTTGCATAAAACTTGAGCTTTAGAGCATTTGTTTGTTTGTTTGTTTCCAGAGAAGAAGCCTTTGTGGATCTAGCATGCCTTTTCAAAGCATGTCTCACACCCCGTTTGGAAGAAGGCCCCCAGGGAGGGCTGGGTTCATACAGAATACTTCACAGTAGGAGGGAAGAAGCAACACTCCCCGTGGGTCCTCCAGGCCCCTAAGAATTCTTCCCTTCCAGGGATGACGGCTCTGCTTGAGCCCTGGAGACCAGCCCTGGCTGTTAGACCTGCCCCAAGTTCCACCCCCGGCCCTATCCTCCTGTCCCCCATCCTTCACTGGCTTGAAAGATCCTATCGGAGTCCAGAGCCTCCACGTGGGCCCCCAAAGGAACGGCTGGGACTCAGCCAGCCAGCCAGCACCATCGCCTCCCAGGCAGCAAGCAAGACCCCAAGACACAGGCTGACATAAGCTTTACAAAATTCTCTGGAGCCAGCTGGCCTTACCTACTACAGAACCAAATGCCAGGAAACTCTGGCTGGCCCGCCAAGTCCCCCGGACTGAGGGATAGAGGACTTGTTGACATGTGCCTTTGTCCTTCATGGCTCGGCTCCCCCACCGCCCTGCCCCACAGTGCACCCTGGCGGAGCACAGCCAGCTGGGTGCCCTGGGCTCCTAGCACAAGGCTGGGAAAACCAGCCCTGGCTGGTCAGTGGTTTTCTGCAGGGCCCGTTTTCCACACACTGCTGGGAATACCCGCAACGGTCCTGGATCCATGTGCCAGGAGGTGGGCCGGAGGCAGCCATGCCCTGACCCGCTCCTTGGCAAAAAGGAAGGAGGGGTCTAGCCTTCCAACCACAGGCCATAATTCATTTCTCAGGGCAACACTGCCGTCTCGCAGGGCTGCACTCTGCTGTCCCCCCTTCTTGCTGAAGGGGGCACCATCACAACATCGATACCCCAAATCTCTCTGCATCATCTCAGGCCCCATGCTTCCAGCAGTGACACAACCAACCCATCGTTGGGGTCCCTCCCATGCAACAACCCCGAGCAACGGAGAAGAAAGTAAACTGTTCATCAGAGGCTCCGGGGCAATGGCCGGAGAGATTCCGGCGTATCCACGGCGAAATGTCCCCTCCCCGTCCTCCCCCAGCCCCCACACCCCAGGGCAGCCTTAGGCCTCCCCTTCCTCCTCTCCGTGCACCCTGTAGACCTCTCGTCCCACCTTAGGCGATCTTGCCTGTCTGTCTTTGCTTCTGTCACCCCTTGTCATGTGCAGGCACGTGCTTTCTAGGGATGCAAAGACCTAAACACCTCAATTCTGGAAACTCACTGAAGGTCAAACATTTACTCAGCCATTAAAATTCCCTGTGTTAGAGTCATTTACATTCATACTTGCAAGGAACACGTAACGAGGCCGGTAGACAGCATTTTATGGCTTTTCTCCATCAACTCAAGTAGGCAAAAAGGAAGCACGGCTGCCAGATAGAGCTATTCCCTCTGGTCCTTCTCGCTCCACCAAAGAAAACAAAGAACAGAAACACCTGTGCCACTTCACGGAGTTTTGGGAGCCCCAGCATCAGTGGGGAGGGGGGCACCCCTGCACGGAACGTGTCCATGGCCCAGGTCGTCAACGTCCTGCATTTCTGTGAGTTTTGACTGGAGCTGAGGTCAGTGTGGGACAAGGGAAATGTGCTTCAAGGCTGACTGCCTGGAAGGTCTTTTCCATTTTGGAGTGTCGACCGCGGGTCAGCCAGTCTCAGGGAATAAGCTGTAAGTGGAGGTGAGTCTTTCCATATGTCTTGCATGAAAATTGAAAATGATCACCTAATGTAGTCCAGAATCCCTCCAAAACAGTTTTATGGTTTTGAAAAAAGAAAAGGGAAAAATGTGAGCCAGGTTGAACGTCATGGGGTCTCTAATCCAAATGAACAAAGCAGAACAATTCACCCCTGAAATTGAGTCAAAGAGAGATCCCAGTGGGTAACAGGTGGGGCTGTGAGCGCAAGTGGACATTTAATAAAACACAATTTGATGAGGACGATAGCGTGCTATCGTCACAGGAATTCCAAACTTGCCATCGTTTGATGAGAGGAAAGAGGCTGGTGAAGTTCTGAGAGATTATTTAAAACAATTTTCTCAGTGCTTACTGAGAAATTTGATATAAAAAGTGCAAAAAAGGATGGGGAAGATGATGGGCAGCAGTTTCCCTACCAGGACCGGCAATCCTACACTAGAGTAGATGACGATATTCTCTCATCCCCGGCCTCAAAACATAGCCTCTCCCCCAAGTGCCACTCTTAGAGTTTCTTTCCTTTGGATTAAACATTCTCAACAATCATGAAAGGAGAACATTTCTTCCAAAGCACCCGGAGACTAAGAGTTACACCTCCTTTCCAGCCTTTTCTGTTCTACAGGAGAGAATGGGGCATTTAGTTTCAGAAGGACTCGGGTAATTCTTTTTATTTCTAATTACAAAAGTGAAACGCTTTACTGAATGAAATGATGTAATGTCTCGGATTTGCTATAAAATACTACAGAAGGTGGGAGACCAGGTAGGGATACAGATGAAATGAGACTGGCTAAAAGCTAATTATTGTGGAAGCTGAGTGATGAGCACATGGGAGTTCATATCCCATAGTCTGTACTGATACGTGTTTGCAATTTTCCATAACAGGATGTATTTATTTAGGAAAGGAAAACAGTAAGATCACTTTAAAAAAATTAATATGTTTTCACTGCATCATATCTAAAATCTATAAAAAATATTTGACCTGGACAATTAGTCTTCTACAAGCCTTTCCCCTCCCTCCCACCAGAGACGACAGCCACAAACAACTGGTGTCTGATTTTTCTTTTTTTTATCCTAGCTTTCTAAAGCCAAAAAGAACCCCGGAAGCTATCTAAGGAGGTCTAGTGTCTTCACTCGTGAGGGAGCTGAGGGCCAGGGACGAGATGGGTGACCACATCCCACTGCCCCACAGTCCCCTGTGAACCCTTCAGGGGAGGTGGTTTTCCAAAATGCACACTTGTTTACCTCCCTTGTTCCAGTCTTTCTTTCTTTGTTTAATGTTTATTGGTTTTGAGAAAGAGAGAGAGAGAGAGCAGGAGAGGTGCAGAGAGAGAGAATCCCAAGCAGGCTCTGCCATGTCCGCGCAGAGCCTGATGCAGGGCTCGAGCTCACGAACCGTGAGGTCATGACCTGAGCCGAGATCAAGAGTTAGACCCTTAACTGACTGAGCCACCCGGGCGCCCTTCCAGCCTTTCTATATTGACCAGTGAGGGACATGAAAGTCAATCCCAAAGCGTGAGGGCTTTTTACCCAAGACGAGAAGTGGATTCCGCAGGGCTCCGTGATGCAGGCAGGAAACCACCCCCCACTTCCTTCATTCTGGGGGCTGGAAGACGCTCCCCACCCTCTGCAGAGATCACAGTGTGAACTCCTGTCCCAGCCACAACCCCAGGACAGAAATGAACGGCTCCAGTTGGCAGCTACGGCCACCCTTGGCTTGAAAGTCTGTGGAAGCAGAGAAGTTTAATCGGGAAAGAAAAGCAAAGTCTAACCCTGGATTCCAAGCTCTAAGGGAGGGATCATCAAGCTCTAAGATGCAAAGGCCTCCCCAGAGGTCGCCTCATGTCCCACCTCTCCTCCACATCATACCAAAGCCACCCAGAGCCACCCTGGATATGAAGCTGTGTCTCACCACGTAGGGCTTGAAGGAGCTTATGGCTTTCTTCATTCACTTATTATGATTAACAAGCCATCCTGATAGGGAATTCTCCACTTCTGACCTGTGTGCTTTGTAGGATGGACAGAAGCCCTAAAGGGCATTTCTAGAGAGATTGCAATTTCGCATTTTTGAGACAGGGGGGCAGGGGGAGCAAGCGTGCGATCACAGAAAGATACCTTTCTTTTTCTTTCTTTTTTTTTTAACTAGGCCCTCACTGGCCATAAGCACCCATTTGCCAGTTTCCCGTTGCTGCTGTAACAAATTACTTCACACCCAGTGGCTTAAAACGGCCCCAATTCATGGTCTCGTGGTCAGTTAGGTCACAATCCCCAGTAGGATTCACTTGTCCCTCTGCTCAGGGTCTCCCAAGGCCAAAATCAAGGTGTCGGCTGGCCTGGCTTCTTATCTAGAGACCCAGAGGAGAATCTGCTTCGAGGCTCATCCCAACTGTTGGCAGAGTTCAGGGCTGGCGGCTGAAGCCCCTGGCTCCTCGCTGGCCGTTCGCTGGGGGCCGCTCTAAGGCCATCTGCATTTCTTGTCACGTTCCCAGGGGGAATGAATCTGGCTCATCAAGGCAGCCTTGTAGGAGATACTGGTGCGCGGGAGGCCACAGGCCGAGCAAGGCGCATTCCCTGCCCTCAGACAGCTAAGACAGAGAGGGGGGCAGATGAACAGGAACACCAGTGGGGATGCACCCACAAACTCAGATGAAGACATCGTTCAATTTTCCTCCTTCAAAAATCAACATAATTTAAAGCACAATCCCCCCTCCCCTTTCTCCCTGGTTATTGTCAGGTGTTTCGAGGGAGGGTGGGGCTTAGGAGACAGGCTCTGGGAAGGGGGTGCAGATCTGGTCCCTGTTCCCGCCTGTCTGTGATGAAAGCAGCAGAGAGAGTTTCACTCCCAGGCAGGTGTCAGTCTCTGTGGCTTCCTATGGCTTCATTCTTCCCAAGAGCCCCTTTGGAGTTTGGGTTCCCCCCAGATCAGGCCACGAGACCCTTTATTTGGAGGTGATCCCACAAAACCAGCAGGGGAGGAGAGGAATGAGAGCGAGAGTGCATTCCATGTGACCCAGGGGGCGACTGGAGCTCAGTCTCCCCGGAAACCGTGTACAGTGACTCCGTGTCAGGGGCGAGGGATCTGGGGTCTTGATCCCCCAGCTGTCAGTCCTGAGGTGAGGGCTGCCCTGACACCAGTGTCCCAGCACTCTGGCCTGCCATGTGCGAGGGCAGATCGGCTACAGAAATCACCCCCCCACCCCCGACAGGCAGGTGCCGCCCAGGGGCCGCAGGGGTGGGGTGAGCCCTGGCTTCTGCGGCAGGGCCTGACTCTGTGCGTCCCCGAGGGCTGCCCATGCCAGGCTGGGAGACTGGAAACTCTACAAGGCTGATGAAAGCCTCTTCAGCCCAGACCCATCCTGAGCTGGGCTGCCACCAGGCTCCTTTCACCCCTCCAAGTCCTACCCAGGAAGCATGGCACAGGGACCCTCTGTTCTCAGATGGAAAAGCTGTCTGGGGGTCGGGGTTACGTCCATGGGGCAGGGATGCTGCCCCTTCTGAGGAAACACAGGCATCTGCACCCCCCTCTTCTTCAACTTTCCCTCTGCCCTCCCCCCACCCTGCCTGAGACGTCCTCCAGCCCCAGCACAAGGCGACCTGGAGCTTTTGTTTTTGCCGGGGACTTTCCTGTCCCCAAAAGGATAGGAAGTCACATTGGCAGCTCATTGTCCCTGGATATACCCTCCCTTCTCTCTCTCTCTTTTTTTAATGTTTATTTATTTGGGGGGGGGGGGAGCAGAGAGGGAGAGAGACAGAGAATCCAAAGCAGGCTCCAGGCTCCCAGCTGTCAACACAGAGCCCAGTGCGAGGCTCGAACCCACAAACTATGAGATCGTGACCTGAGCCAAAGTCAGACGCTTAACTGACTGAGCCACCCAGACGCCTCACACCCACCCCCTTCTCTCGCTACCGTGAGCCTAGGGAGAGTGTCTGGAGTGAATGGGAAAGGCCGCTGTGTACCAGGAAACACAGGAAACCCTTCAAAGGATTCCTATCACACAGATGTGCACCCAAGTAGCCAGAATTCAGGGTGAATATAGTATGTGCCATTGTGAAGTCCTTCCACGGGAGACGGAGAGAAATTCCCTCTGGAGGCAAGCAAGGAAGCCTGCAGAAAAGAAGCGGGAGCCTCACCTGCCTGGGCCTGCACTTAGGGCACTCGGACTGGGCAGGGACAGAGGTGATCTGTATACCCCTGCAATGTCAGGCCAAGGTGGGACTTCCCAGAATGACATCCCTAGAAAGACGGCAGGGAGGAAGCCATATTCAGAAGGGGAGGAGTGATGTGGTAAGTTGTGGTGGCCCAGTGGGATGTGAGATGGCCTTTGCCACCAGACTCTAGCTTCAGGAATCTGTGTGTGGAAACACCGTGGCAGAGAAGGCAGGAGAGACAAGAGAAAGAAAAATGAGGGATGTGCCCAGTCGGGGAGGCTTCCTAAACCAGACCATTTAGGGATCCTCCGCCGACCTTTCAGTGGGAACAGGAGGGGTCCCCCCTCCTGTGCAACTCTCCGAGCCGCCGGCCCCCCCCCCCGCCCCCGTTTGTGGGGGTGAAACCCACCGAGCTTCATTCAGGCCAGGACGCCAGGTGAGTTCCGGGCTCCTGTGAGGAGGGCTGATTTTCCAAATGAATTCACCAGAGAGGTGGGACCGACAGCCCCGGGATGCCCTCAAGCAGAGAAATTGTCAGAGAAGGAGGTGAGAGTAGGTGGTAATTGTGGGGGGAAGGAAAGCACCATCCACCCAGCCAGTATCTTGGCTTCTAGGAGCCCAGTCTGCTTTGGAGAAAATAAGAAGGTCTGAGTTTTCTGGTTGTTCACACTCAGAAACTAAAGCCTAAGAACTTGCAAACATCTGGCTTTTACAGCACAAAACCCCCACCGCGCCTGCTGGGGCGCCATTTAGTGATGTTATGGCTCCATCTACAGCCTGAGGAGGGACCTGGTTGCTAGATTTCTCAAAGAGCAGCAGCCAGGCCTTTTGAGTGTCACAGTTTCATTGCAATTAATGCTAATAAAGCCCTTTCCCCTCCCTACTGCACCCTTTATTCAGTGCAGATTTGGAACTGTGCTGGAAGTTATTTATTTCAGACCGTGTCTACGACAGCAGCTGTTCAGAATATACTAGAAACCCTTTTAGCCAAAATTGGTTTGGAGTTTCTATTTTCAACCACTGTTTGTAATGAATTGAATTAAATGGGGTTGTTTCCCACCTTTTTTTTTTCTCTTTTCTTTTCTAACAACAGAACAAATAAAAGCCCTTAAAGTAGCAAGATCACATTCTCTTTCATACACTGAACAAACATTTAATTAGCACCTTCCCTGTGTGGGTCTCTGTGATCAGCACAGTGATTAGTCAGGTCTGAATACATTCCGTAATTGACTCATCAGAGAACGTCTACTACTTTCTCTTGTTGGCAGGAACCCCCCACATTGGTCAAGAAAAAAGCAAGGACAAAGACCAAGGTCACCAGTGTATCCGGGGCTTGGAAGGACTTTGAAACATAGTGACAGAAAAATCCTTTGACTCATAACAAAATGGAAGCTGGAAGTCGGTTGCATAAGGGTAAGATTTTTGTCCTTTTCTATTTTTTTTCCTCAGAAGTGTAATTAGCTTTTTCCTATTAAAAAAAAAAAAAGTAATACAGGGGCGTCTAGGTGGCTCAGTAGGTTAAGCGTCTGGCTCTTGATTTCAACTCAGGTCACGATCTCACGCTTCGAGAGATCGAGCCCCACGTCGGTCTCTGTGCTGGCAGCATGGAGCCTGCTCAGGATTCTCTCTCTCTCCCTCTTTCTCTGCCCCCTCCCCCAACCTGGCTTGTGCACTCTCTGTCTCTCTCTCTCAAAATAAAGAAATAAACGTGAAAAAAATTTTTGAGTAATACAAAAATAACTATTTGCTTTGTGCAGAAAACTTGGAAAAGCAGGACGAAAAGGAGTAACAAGTCTAAGACGTTCATAACCCTATCAGCCAAAGATGACCATCCACAGCTTAACATGGCCCTACACTAACTTTGTCTTTCCAGCAACGGTACTGTATATTCTCAAACCCACAGGAGAGAAACATTCTTCCGCGTCACTGCATGTGCTTCTGCGTGATCTTAAACGACTTTCGTATCAATGAACCATAATTTATTTACCCCATGCAAGATGCCCAATTTTTCACAATTTTTTACGTTTATTATTTATTTATTTATTTAGAGAGACAGAGACGTCAAGTGGGGGGGGGGGGCCGGGGGGGGGGCAGAGAGAGAGGGAGAGAGAGAATCCCAGGCAGGCCCCACACTGTCAGCGCAGAGCCCGATGTGGGGCTCGAACTCACGAACCGTGAAATCATGACCAGGGCCGAGACTAAGAGTCAGACCCTTCACTGACTGAGCCACCCAGGCGCCCGCCCCCCCCCCCCATTTTTCACAGTGAAAAGCTCTGTACAGACAATATTCCTGAAGATGAACCTTTAGCCATGGACTTCTGGGTCAGCAGGGCGCATCCGCTTTGAGGCCTCTGAGACAAGATATCAAATTGCCATCTGGGGCGGATCTCCTGGAATTTCCCATCACATCGGGGCCCAAATCTCCCTTTAGGAGGCCTGAGTGTCCACTTTGGAAAGAGTTCAGTGTGATGGGGAATGGCGTGTGAGGGGACCTTTGCAGGGCACCGCAGCCTGAGACAGCAAGGGCAGTTCAGAATGTTTTTTCATAAATTCTCTACCTCGTAGGTGATTCCGGCTGGAATGCCTGTGGAAAACAGGCAGCAAGACGCGTTTGGGACCTGGGCAGGATTTAGTCCATAGGACATGACCACGAGCTCAGCAGATTCGGGGCGACAGGATCATGCTGTATTCTTCATCGCCCATACCTCACCACTCGGCATGATTAATGTCACCCCTGGTTCCTTCTCCCTTCTTCCACATCCTCTCCACAGTTTGTGTCCACAGACGCTCTGCCTTGCCCTGCATGTCTTATAAGGTTGAGCGGGGTTCCTCTGGAGGCGGCTACATTCAATAGGTCTTTAAAAAACATCCTGGCACCTTTCGAACGTGGGGTGTGGTCTAAGGAATCGACACACCGGCTTAGGGAACACTTGCCGATCATTTTCTTGAGAATTGAAACATTTTTCCATATCATCCCTCCAGTTGTTGGGTTCATAGAGGGTGGAAACAACTTGAGGGATGGTGGAAGGCAGGCCGTACCCGAGGGCTGCCCAGCAAATCTCATTTGGGGCCTAATTTTGGAAAGAGAAGGGGCAGAAAGAACGAGCTTCAGGTGAAAAGCAGAAATTAAATTGTATTTCTTTGATCTTACAGGGTGCCTAATTGACTGTCTCTCATCAGTCGGGAAAGAAAGGGAAGAATGCAGCAGAGAACCCCAGAACGTTAGAGCCCGATGTACGTCGCCTCTGAGTGGAAGGGGATGCGGAAGCCAGGGTTGCCCGAGGTCAGGGGCTGGGGGAGGGGGAGGGATGGGACGGAGCCCTGACTTTCAGCCGCTCACCGGGTCATCATTCTGTGTGAGCAAAAGAGATACTTAGTCATTAGGGAGTAAGAAGACACCCAAAAGGGGAGCCCGAGGAACCCGACCTTGACCTTGCTCTTTTTTTTTGTCTGAGTCACACTTCCTCTCTTAGGAGGAGCTGGACGGTTGACTTCCAGCCCATGGTGCCTGCCCTCTGTGGCAGTGACCGCGCAGAGCAGGGCCGCGCGGGCGTCACCCAAGGGCCTCTCTGTTTTTCCTGAATGCTCTCACCACCTTGACATCCCGGCAATGCCCTTTACTGCACTTGTGTCCTGCTGAGAGTGTGGGTGAGGCCTGGGCTGTGCTTCACCGAAATGGTGCTCTCCTACCTGCTCCGGAATGTGGGCCAGCACCTTCCGTGTGTCCCGGGGGCTCCGGGCAGGCGGGGGAACAGGGGCCGGTGTGGCACCTGGGAGGTGACACTGCGTCTCTGCCTGGCACCCTCCCTCCTCCTCGCGTTGAGGGCAGGCCCCTGATGGCTGGGACTTCTCCTCAGCTTCGGTTCATCTGTCTGTTTCTGCTCCCAGAGGTAAAACGAGGGGGAAGGCTTGAAGCAGGGAGGATCTCCTTATTACTGATAACAAACCCGAAACAGAAGTGATCTATACCCCACACTTCAGCAGCTCACAGGGAGACCCTGGGTAATGCCAGACAAAACAGCAAAGATCTAATTACACTGACAGAAATAACTTACATGGTCACATACCTTCTACCTGTCCATCTCCAAACTAAGTGGCCCTTTCACTTCATGCAACAGTGAAATAAAATATTTGGGGGCTGACATTTCAATAGGTCCGAGGTCCTGAATACGGCTGAGCAACTCCCCCATGCTTTTCTGGGCCACAATTTCCCCAGTAGGAAATGAAGGTTAATCATTTTCGCTTTAACTCCCATACTCCATCATCCCTGCTTCTCAGAGATGTAGTGACAAGAGATAGTTGCAGTGTTTTCCAAACTTGCCCGATGCCAAGAATCACCTAGAAAGCATATCAAGATACAAACTCCCAGGCCAAACCCTGAACTTACAAAGTCAGCGGTTCCAGCCTTGGGCCTGGGCCTGGGCATCTATAGTTGTAAAGAGCTTCTGATTGCGTGTTCAGGCAAGCTTGGGAAACACTGAGGCAATCACCACGAAATCCTTTAGTGTTTCAAGGTACCAAGCTCTGAGCACTCAAAGGTGCATTTATCACTGCTATTATTTCAGACTAGGATTACTAGCTTTAACAAACAAAAACACAGGATGTGCAGTTAAATGTGAATTTCAGATAAACAAGGAATGATTTTTTTTTAGCATAAGTATATCCCATGTAATATTTCGAGTATACTTATACTAAAAAATTATTTTGATGGCAACTCTGTCAGATGCTATGTGTCTCATTATTGTGTAATCTGGAAAAGCATAAGAAAAATCTAACGGTTAGCAAAAGATAGGATGTCAGTAACAGAAGAGTGTCCTTTTCACATTCCAGTCTCTAAACCTCTCAGTTTTTTACCCAGCTCTCCTGCTTGCCAGCAAGAGGGTGCCCTGGTCTCTGGCTCTTCATCATTCTGAAGAGAGAAAGAAAGAAGGAAGAAAGAAAGAAAGAAAGAAAGAAAGAAAGAAAGAAAGAAAGAAAG